GACACATACTGTATTGTATGCACACACACCTGCTCCATCTGTCTACTCTACAATTAACACCATCGGGCCAATATACTGTATGTCACCATTCTCACAGCAAAGTCAAAGTAAAGTTCTTTAAACTGCCTCCAACTCATTTATTCAGATCTGGATTGGAAACCAGAGCCAGTCAGTTTTATGCATGAACCTGACTCTAACACATCAAATTGGTTTACTTGTAGGTATTTTTTCTGTGCTTTAGCAATGTTTAAAAAATATCTGAAACAAATTTCAACACCAAAGTAAACATCTGTTTTTAAACTGGAAGGTCTCACCTGCATGAGACAGTAGCTCTGGAGGGATTCAGATTCATTTTCACAGGTTGAACAAGACGTTATAATTCTTAGGTGGGTCTTGGAATAAATAATTATAAGAACCTTTTATACTGACCCCACAGAGCAGTATCCTAAATGTTGACAATCAGCATCTCAATAATGAGGACGGCTACAGCCCACCACACTCCTGTCTACTATTACTAAAACATATGCACTGTGGCACGCATCAGGTGGGATCAGTGGTATTTGAACAAACACTGATGGCATACTGTATATGCTTGGATGTAAGTGTTAAAGTAACTAGGGAACCTGGTGAAGGTATGAGTAGTGCCTTGAGGCAAGGAGCATGAGGGTTGCAGGGTTCCTGACTCCCACTGCGGCCTGTATAAATGTTAGCCTCCATGACTCGATTAGTGACATGTCACTAATACTCTTTCTATGAATGAACAAACAGATACAGATATACTGCAGAGAGGCAACACTATCACCACAGGGGTGTAGAGCAAGCGTGAATAGTTTGTGAGACTAGTATGAGCCATCCTTAGTCATACTCCCGCCTGTCTGAGCAGGGAGAGTTGCCATATAGATACAAGCAACTGATCTAAAAAACCCAAAATAAATCAAAACCAGCTGTCTGTTTTATATGGCTGGAAACATACAGTGTGGTACTAGTGAATGAGCAGTGATGTGCCCACGCACCTGTTGTCTGGCTCATCCCTCTCGTCGTATCCAGGCTCTCCTCATTTGGGCTGCTCTCCTGCAGTAGCAGCTGTGAATATGTACACCTTGTTAGGGGGCTGACAGTTCTGGCAGTGGGAGAGACAGGGAAGTAGCTTGTTATGGAGAACAAGCTAACTATATGTCAGTCCTTGCTGTGCAGAGAGAGGAAACACAAAAAACAGAAAGAATAAACAAGAGATCTTTACAATACAAAACAACAACAACAACTAAAATTCACGATTCACTATGTCAATTTAAATATTTAAATGTGATGAACTAAAAGCACACTGACCCCCAGACACTGCTATTAAAACAGCATGGTAGACTGGATTTCAAAATTAGATTTGTCTCAGAAACATGTGGCTGAACTGATCATTATGACCTGACCCACTGTAATCCCCATTTGCTGCTCATCCAGTCCTGTCATGGCTGTGCTGTAATTAGCCTGCATTCAATATAACAGTGAAATGTTAACAGATTCTGCAAATCTGTGATCAGTATTATAGACTTACAATGATTGGGCTGTCTATGGGGCTGTTTGTTACAGCCCTGTGTGATCTAAAAACAGCCGAGAGCAGAGGCCACTAAACAGGCAATATCGCTAATTCAAAACTTCATTACACACTTTTTATAGCAAAGCCAGCTAATGTTTGGCTAAACTTGAAAGACCTAAATGTAATGTGGTGCACTGTAATGTAAAATGCAAATTATGGAAATATAATTGGAATAAATACAGAAAATTATTGTGAATGTGATTCATATAAATTTTCTTTTGTTCTCACCATAAAAAAAGAAAAGTTCCACATTATGGGAAATGCAGAAATACTAGAAATGCAAAACACTTTGGTTTTTGTACAATGACATGTCAATTTGTGACCTCTAATTACTTCTGAGGGAGTCAGGATATCTGTTTTCCCCAGTTCCACTCTTAGTGCTACAGGTAAGCTAACTGGCTGCTGGCAGTAGCTTCACATTTACTGCACAGATGTAAAAATGATATTGACTTATAATTATATAATTATATTCTTTTAACCTCTGGCCTCAAAGTCTTCATCACGTTTACATCACACTTACATTGTGGTAATTAGAATTGTTTATTCATATTTCTGCGTGTCGGCCCTGCTATGGACTGGCAACCTGTCCAGGGTGTACCCTGCCTTTGCCCGATTGCTGGCTGGGATTGGCTTCAGCCCCCCCGCGACCCCATTTGGGACTGAGCGGCATAGATGATGAATGAATGAATGAATAAAGAAATATATTTTTGTCTTATTTTGCTGTGTAATTGTGGATCTTTGGTCTTTTTTCTTCCAGGTGTACAGATGTAATAGTTTTCTTGCTTATTGCAGATCGCATGATGGCACTCTATAAAAAAAATAACTCACTGCCAAAATGCATCAACAGTAATGATGAAATGATGAGTCAATCAATTCGTTATTAGAGTGATAAACAATTAACCGCAGTTGTGATAACTCATTTAAGTAATTTATCAAGAAAAAACACAAACTCTCTAATTACAGCTTCTTAAATGTGAGTATTTGGTGATTTTCTGTGGTGCATATCATTGTAAGCTGAATTTTGGGCTCTTCCTCATACAAAAATAAAATGAGGTTGCCTTGGGCCCTGGGAAAGTGCGATGAATTTTATAACATTTCACACATTAAATGATTAAGCAATGAATAAATATAAATCAACACATCAATCAACAATTAAAGCCTTCATTAGTCACAGCCGTTTTCAGCAGGTTTGTCAGCCTGTTAATTGTAAGTAGAATTATCCAAAAATAATCAAGATATGAGATGGGAATTTTCCTACTATCTTAAAACTGTTTAACTTTACAATTTAAAATATTAGATTAGCAAGATATTGTGCTTATTAGTTGACATCATGTTCTTATTTCTGTGTCAAGACAAAAACATGTAGCAGAAACAGCTGCTGAGCAGCTTCAAAATCAACTCACACTGTTAGTCTTAAATTACACAAACCAGATCTAATCCATAAATATAATCAGTGACAAAAAAGTAAAAACCCTAAAACTCTGTGATTAGGTGGAGCTGGTGGTGTGTTGTTAAGGCAAAGGAGGAGTGGGTGCACATGAAACACAATATCTCCTCCTCTCTCATCAGCTGTAATAATCACAGATCTGAGGATTAATTACCAATGTCCCAGTAAAGGAGCTCTGTGTTGCCAGATGTGGAGCCACTGGCTGTCCTAAGATGACTAATGTGTTCACACACAGATGATGCTACTGCATCCTCAGACAGGATAAAGCCTCAGGAATGGTGTGGGGTGCCTTGCTGTGGCCAGCTGTGGCACTGCAGGACAAAAATGCATGGCCGCATGAACACTGAATCAACAAATGCAACACAAGCACATTAATAAAATATAACCACCACAAATGCTACTAAGTAATGAAAGTGATGCAGGGGCAATTGTGGCATTATTCACATTTCTTGGACAAATCACAGTGGGTCAACTGTAGCCAACAATAACACTTTGTTTAATGAAAATGCATTATCATTAACAGAGAGCTTTAACTAAGTTAACTTCTAAAAGGCTGCTACATTAAATTAATTTGATCTGTCTGGTCATTAATATTTGATTGATAACATATTTCATTTCTTTGATATCTATTAATATTTATGATACATTTGCAGCTCTGTTTCCTGGAACAAAGCAAGTGCATACTATGTGTCATAATCAACTTTATATGACAGCTTTTAATGGCTTGATTCATTATTAGTTAGTACCAGATAAATAATCAGTGCCTTCCAGCATCCCCTTGTGTTTACTTTCAGGCCAAGGAAGTAAAGTCACGGGGTAAAAAAAACAGGAATTGTGCTTAAATGGGTCATTCACAAGACCCAGTGCATGACAGGCAATACACCAAAAAGGGGACTTTTTTCTGGTTGTAGTCTTACTAGGCCTTATTCAGGTTATTGTAAGTAGCTATAGTGGTTAACTTCAATGAGAAAGACAACAAGGGGGATGGGGTGAACATGTGACACTGTAACAGTGGGCTCATGAGGAATTTAGAGTGAGACAGTGGTTGTCTCTCTGTGAAACAGGCAGCATGGAGAAGGCCTGTATCATCAGTCTTGCCTTATCATCTTCTTCCACTTTCCTTGCACTATTAATGTGGCAGAATATTTTTATTCCCATTATCTATACAAGAACTGTTATTATTCTTCATATTGTAGCGGACAGTCACAGAGCAGTTGCTGCTTGTGTATAAAAAAAAAAAAAAACCATAACTCAAACTTTACATGTCATCATGTTAAGCATACAGCATGTACAGAGCAATACAGAGAAATTCTGAAATATGAATAGTAGCCTACTGACTTGAAAATGTAATGATTCAAAAAGCATTAACAATTAAAAAGCATTAAGAATTAAAAGAAATTTTAAGAAAAACCATATAATTCATCTACAAAAATGTATGCACAATTTGACATACGAATAGCCTAGGTGGCATTAAAGCCGTATGACAAGGTATCAAAAACACGCAGGACTGCAACTCTTCGAGCTTGTTTTTAAAGTAATAATAAATATTTTATAGCTTTTGCATTTCAACTCTGATGAAACTAAGTCTCTGAAACAAAAACACTGGAACATACGGATATCTCCTTACGCTCATGAAAAAACACACACCTCATCTGTCTGTCCGGCGTGTTTGTCCACACATGGATCTTTCCCCAAGTATGCAGGAAGTGGTGGCCACAGCAGTCAAGGGGGCGAAAACGGCTAAGCCAGAGTGCCTTCAAAATAAAAGATGAGCCTAGTTCTGAATGAAAACAATAGGAAGACAAAATCGTGTCACAAAACTAAAGTTGTAAAATATTAATTAGATAATACGTGTGATTTATATTATGTAGCAACAAGGAATGACAAGCACCCAATTTTGTTTGGCTTCATTCCAATCGCAAAGCTACTACATACTATGTTTTTAAGAAAAAAACAATAACCGGAAGTTACATTTAAATTTTGGCTAGCTTACTCACGGCTTATAGTTGGAGAACGGAGTGCTTGGAGACAAAAGAGATTGACCCCTGTCCGAGTCTAGATACGCGTGTTTTGTGACACATATTGCGTTACATTATTTCAGTATGTTTAGTTTGTTTTTGACATTGGGCAAGGCAGCATAATGGTGGTTAATGCGGCGCAGGTGATACGATAATGGCTAAACTGAAAACTTAAGGAGAAAACTTTGAAAAGGAGTTGGAGTCTTCCCAGACATTCTCCGTTAATACTGTAAAAACGAAAGCCACCATGGCATCCACTGCTTCGGTTTTAATGTGGGCATTTGCTGTTAGTTTATGCTTCGACGTGTCCATGTGTTACTTTTCCATACCGATGAAAGTATACACAGGGAAGTTCGGTGTCTCGTCGGATGTGAATTTGACTGCTCTTCTGCAAGTATCGTCATCGTCTAATGGGAACGGGCTGTCTCTGGCCTCTGATCCGACCGGTACAGTGAGCTTTCTCGACATGGCAAACAACTTGTATGGGGACTCTGGGAGAGGCTATTACATAGAAATGTCAATCGGAACCCCTGGTCAAAAGGTAATGTATCCTGAACACCGGTAAAGCTAACGTTAGCTAAGTTAGCGTTAGTTACATCGGTTGTTTTGGTGTGATATCATTTGTACCGTTGGTGTCAAAATGATTAACACCAGACTTAGTTAGAACAAGATGCAAAATTAGTAAACGTAGACCCAAAAAAGTTACAAAGAGATGCAAAATGAGCACAAAAACATGCAAAATAACCTCAGAAAAAAAAACAATAAAAATAACCACAAAGAGATGTGAAACTGTTAAAAAGAGAAGCCAAATAATATTTTTTTAAAAATGGGAAAACGACCAAAAGGAGTCAGAAAACAAGTGGCCAAAGTTAGATATAGTAGATATAGATGCAAAATGATACACAAAATGACCACAAAGACAATAAAATAGCTTGCAGGTGCAAAACAACCACAGATATGCAAAATGACTAGAAAGAGACACGAGTTTCTTTCAGTCTGAGGCTCGTGTCCTTATGGAGTAGGGCGTTGGGCCTTTTACTTGTTTGTGCCCAGTGTCTCATCATAATCTGTCCATGGTTGTAGGCATACTGTACTATCACTAACCTTGTAAAATTAAGTCAGATGTTTATTTCCAGACCCATCAGCAAGCATCAAAGCAGAATAGTGTCATAGCTGTGGGTTGCAGCAGCTGGCTCAAGTCTTTGCAGCCTTGGGGTCTGTGGGTAGACAAAACACCCGCTCACATGCACTCACATGATGCTGCCTGTGAGGACCATGTTTCGTAGCAGGCAGCTGACAGGGATTATGAGGCTCTCAAGGAGCAAAGAGCAGCCCCAGAGCTGTAGAAAACAGCACAAACTCTGGCTCAGGCATATTTTCCTTTGGTTCCATGGAAATGTGCCTGTGTAATTTATTGTCATCATTTCATACTGCTCATTATGTAAAGTGCCTAACAAAATCATATTAATGATTAAGGAGTACTAAATGGTCCCAGGAAATGTGGAAGAGGCATTCTCCCATCGCTATTAAAAATCCATGATGCTTTAGGGTGTTGTAGGTTCACGGTTATGCTGTCCCATTGTGTTGTAAGAAGATGTTTGAATTAGAGCCCTAACCAAAGGTGAATTATTTCATTAGTAACTTGACCTCTTGTTCTTGGGCTTCTCAAGTTAAACAGATCCGAGCTTTTAAGAGCCTTGGGTGGCACAGCTCAGTTTCCCAGGCTCAGAGAGGCTTATCAGTGCTGCCTGCCATTTCAGTGCTTGAGGATAATGCTGCAGTACTTGCCAGAGTACACTTCCCAGACAGGTTTACAACCAGTCCCACAGTTGTGCTTTAGGAAAAGATGTTTAATATATGCTGTTCTGATGGAACACCGCAATGGACAAAATTCCCAAGACTCCTGTGGACTCCTCAGGCTACATTGAGGTCAAGTGGTACACTTCACTTTATCAGGCACAGGTGTGGTTCTTAATTAGTAAGCACTACACAATAGGTAGATGAACAACAGACTTACAATATTATCATCTGATTCTTTCATGATTAATCCTCATTCAAGCAAATTTTAATTTGCTCCAATTGGGGTTCGTTAAGCTTTTCTTGTTTTATCGGAACTGCTACTTTGTGCATGTAGGATCTTTTATGAAAGGAGCAATAATGGTGTCAAAGGTACCTCACCAGTTGATCACTGTTTTTTTTTTTTGCTGCAGCAGCAAACATTTTGTCTTGGTGTAGCAGGAAAAACACAGGTGCAACTAACAAAACAAATGATGGCTCATGTCCATGTTCCCCAGTAAGCCATTCTAGTGAGTCAGCATGCACAAAACCAGGTCTCTGAAATCTATATGAACGGCAGTCATTATTAATGTTTAGTTACACCTGTGTGTTTTGAACCTATGTCTAGTGGGCTAGTAGCTAGTTACTCTATATACGAGGTGTACAGAGACACACCACATCATCACAGTTGTCCATTAATACTTCTTGAATGGGTTGGAAAAAACTGCAGTTACAATTTCAGCTATAGATAGTGGAAACAGTTACAGTATATTTCAGCTTTTACTCTCCTATCCTTTGTCCATGGTTACAGTCAAACCTCCACATCAGTTATTGATGCCAGCAGAGCTCAATTCACTTTGGTTCAGATTGGTTGTGCAATGCCAAAATGTCCTCTAATTCAATACTAGTGAGTTACACTGTCAATATTATTCTGACTAAATGACGATGTGATTACAGGGCCGTGCTGTTAAATGAGGCACTATTCAAATGAGACTCTAATTGCCGCATCTGTTAGCATGTGCACAGCCAGGCTGAGGTGTCGGCTAGAGAGCCTCACATCTGCTAATTGGTACAAACAGGTAGCAGATGCATGTTGCTGCCACAGAGCCACTGCCAATTAAACCATGAATGCTCAACTATAGGTGACTGCAGGCTGCTTCAGCAGCAGGGAAAGGGATTTGCCTGAGGCTCAGATGCTGAGCTGATGGATGGTGGTGTGACTGAGAAAAGACAGTGTAAGGATAAGGAAATGCCCCAGCTCCCCCTCCTTCACCACCCACCAGGTCCTGTATTTTCCACTCTGGCCTGTTTGGCTGGTTCAGACCTGGTGTGAGTGGACTTATGCCATCTGATCAGACCCCGGCCAGTCCACCGAGGAGGAACTGATAAGCCTAACTCTTACAGACAGGCCAACAGGGGCTTCCCAAGCCTCACTGAACTGTACAATGGGACATGGCTGATAATTACAGAATTGTTTCCTAATGACTTCATGCACACCTGAGCATGACAGTGGGGTGTTGTCTATAATTCACGATGCCTTTGGTTATTGAGCATGTCGTGCAGTATAATGATGAACAGACTCCAGTTAGATGTGAGTTATCTGTGATTGGCTTGAGGAACAAAGCTTGAGATAGTTGATTTCTTCTTCTGTTTGGAATGACTTGTTTGGCTGTTAGCACTTAAGCATTTCCAATTGTTCTGCTCTTTCAGAAACAGCAGAGGAATGATGATTCAATTTTGCAGTGACTATTTATTCATGTGCGTGCTTGTGACACCATGGAAGATCCACTGTATAAACCTCTTTGTTGCTGACTCCTCAGGTAGCTGTGGAGTTTTAGGTTTATGACCCCGTCATGGTAAGGAACACTTGGTAGTGAGCATGGCCCTGCTCCACAGTGGAGTGCCTGCTGGCTAATTAGCTCCTGCTTGTCAGCTTGATTCTTGGAAGACAGGATTATCTCAACTGTTGTTAGCTGGTTTCCACATGACACATATGGCTCTATACGTCATACGGTCCAGTCATGTCAAATAGCTCGAGGAGTTCATGTTTGAGTCATAGTTTACACATTAGAGTGATAATATGAGGTGCATAGAGATGTTTGCTCAATGGCTCAATACACCAATTTATGCAATAATGGGTTTTTGCCCCCACATTTTTTTGCACCTGATCCAGTTTTATATGAAAGTTCTACTCAGGTCCAG